GGCCAGCGGACCCCAGGGACCCGACTCCAAGTGCTTGCTCACTGGGTCCCCCGGGCCACCTGGCCCTTGGGTGGCACCTTGTCTGAAGACCCAAGAGCTTCCTGGGACCTGGCCATCTAGGGGACCACTTAAAAGCCACCTGGGGGTGTCCCTGGCCACCTGAAGTCAGCCCCCGCCCCTGCCCTATCCCCATCTCTGTTGCCCACCCTCTGTCCCCAACTGCCCCTTTCTCCATGCTTAGTTCACTATAGTCTTCTCCACAAAGAGGCGGCCAGACGACTAGGGGGTGGGACGGGCGACACAACTGGGGTCCCCCGCTCTCCTGCCCAACCCCCACAGCCACCTGGACCCCAAGCCCCCTTTTCCGGGGTCCCTGCTGACCTCTTCGACTTTATCTTTGGCTGTCCCCCGCCCTCTGCAGTGTCCTTTCTGTTTCATTAGATACCCTCCGCCCCCAGGGACGTGGCTGTCCCCCCTTCCCCAGGGACCTTGCCTGTCTTGTGTTAACATAAAGTGACGAGAATCTAGAAGTGACCCTCAAACGTCCAGGACCCTTCCTTGGTGAAGTCCCCAACCCAACCCACCCCCCATCCTAGACGCTGCCCCACGGGACCCTCCCAAATCTGTTCCCTTCATTTCTTCCACCTTGAAACAAAGTGGCTCCTTTCTGGAGGTGGCCCTTGAGAAATGGTTTAGAGTCCCCAGGGTCCCCTTGTGTCCCCATTTTACATGAAGAAGTTGAGGTCCAGAGAGGAGTTGGGGCCTGCCCGGGTTGGGGGGGATTATACTCCAAGTCTGATTCCCAGTCCAGTGATCTTGCCCCATCCGACCCCCTCAGACCACCCCTGTCCCAGGAGGTCACAAGGCGGGAGGCAGCAAAAGCCACATTGGGGGACATGGGGTGTGGGGGGGTGGCACACTCAGCCTGGGACAACCACCAGGGACCTCAGTACCCTTTCTCACTTGGAAACAGCCCCGGGGTTTGGGAAAGTCTCTAGGTGGGTCTTCTGTTGTCAGAGCCTCAAAGCCAAGGGCTTTCTGGAACCTTCTGTGGGTGTGGCCCTGACCCCTCACACTCTTAGCAAGGACTTCCTTCCCCATCCCATTTAGAATATAATCAGATGTCCCCCCCCCACAGCTTGGAAATGGCTGGGGGGAGTCTGGGTCCTGGACTGCCACCTTGGTGGCTTTATTTCTGTCCCCTAGACAGCCCAGCCAGCCCCCAGGGTCCCCTGGACAGCGCAGCCAGCCCCCAGGGTCCCCTGGACAGCGCAGCCAGCCCCCAGGGCAGGGCTTGTGCCCTGCTGTTCTCTCTCTTCTAAGACTTTCACAAGCCTCATTCCTTTAGTTAACGTCACCTCCTCCATGAAGCCCTCCCTAAACACCCCATCTGAAGTAGGGTGACCCTTCCCCAATCTTATCACTTTTCCATGTTTGTCCTTCATAGCACTTATCACTCTGTGGAGTCCCCGTTCCCCCCCCCCCATTTATAGGCCACTCTCTGGCCCCACCAGAAGGTCAGCTTGTTGGTGGGTCACCCAGGAGGTCCTCTGTACCTGGCACACAGTAGATGCTCAATAAACATTTGTTTGAATAAATTAAATACGCAGGTCCCACAGGGGCCTGGTCTTTTCTGCGTGGGGACAGGTACAGAGACAGCAGACTCTAGCCACAGGTCACCTTCGTGACCCTCCTGCTCTTCAGATGCCAGCAGAAGGGCCGGGTACCTTGGTGGCTTGGAGGTCAAGTGCCCCCCACCGCCCGCCCTGCCCTTGCTGGGTGCCTTCGCTGGGCACCTGAAGGTGGCCTGGAGCGGGTGGGACCCTGCGGGCCACCCAAGTTTGCTGTGATCGGGAGGCCACTTTGGGTCTGCGGGGGTAGTTCCCAAAGGACCCATGACAGGGCCGCAGAGGTGCAGCCAGAAGCGCCCTGAGCCTTCCAATGAATAGTTTTGAGGTCCTTGGGGACATCCCGGAAAAGTCATCTGAAAGACGTTGGGGGGCTGACCCCGGGGACCCGCCCAAGGACGGCGTTGTCTCTGTTTTAGGGGGAAGCAGCGGTGGCCATCCCTGGCCCCCTAAGCCACCCCGGAGGGGAGAGGGCAAGTCCCCGCATCGGCCCCAACCGGGGAGCGCGCGGCGGCTGCTCCAGCGAGAACTGAGGTCCGGGGCGGCGGGTGCGGCAGTTAAACGTTGGGAGCGCGCCCCGCCCCGCCCCCTCGGCTCCGCCCCGCCCCTCGGCCCCGCCCACACCTCCGCCAACTCGGCCCCGCCTCGCTCCCGCCCCGCCCCCGTCGACTAGGCCCCGCCCACACCCCTGCTCACCAGGACTCGGCCCCGCCCCGCCAGGCCCCTGGTTTCCATGGAGACCCAACCTTCCCTCCCAGCCCTGCGCTCCGCGGCTGCGCCAGTGCAGCGCCCGGGACAACCCGAGCGCACCCTTTCCACGCCCAGCGACTTACTGCTTCGCACATTCGGCTAATCACAAAGCCACCATGTCGCTTCCCGGGCCCCTTCTCTTTTTTTCTACCAGGAATTGAACCCAGGGGCACTCAACCCCTGAGCCCCGTCCCCAGCCCTTTTTTATATTTTATTTAGAGACAGGGTCTCGACGAGTTGCTCAGCACCTTGCTTTTGCTGAGGCTGGCCTCCACCTTGCGATCCTCTTGCCTCAGCCTTCCGAGTCGCTGGGATGACAGGCGTGCCCACCGTGTCTGGCTCGGGCCCCTTCTCCAGCGGCTTTGAGGCCGGAGAGGGGAGCGGGAATGTTCTATTTTAGCCAGGAGGACGGGGTTGAGGATGGGGTTCAGTGGTCCTAGCATGCGTAGGGCCCCGGGTTCGATCCCCAAAACCGAAACAAAGGGATCAGAACTGAGCCAAGTCTCTGGGAGTTGGGTCCTGGGTATAGGAGGACCGAGAGACGAGGTTTCTGTTTCCCTGGGGTGGGTGGGGTGGGTTGCCTTGGGCATGTTCCCCAGGGCTCAGTGCAGAGCTCTGAGCTTGGAAGGTTGGAAATCCACCCTTCCCAGGATAGAAGCCCGTGGGAGGACACTCCTGCTTTGGGGACTGCCTCCCTCGCACAGGTCAGCACCAGGACCTCACAGAAACACAGTGAAACTCTCTGATCATCGTCCAGAAGGCGGAAAGAACACTGCACACCACCTGGGGTTCCCTCCCGCCCCGGGCTAGGCCACTCGGGGAAGCTGACTGCTACAAAGACCCTGTGCAGATCTCTAGTGCCCAGAGTTCCAACAGAAGATCCAGAGGTGAATGGACGTGGTGGTGTCTGTCATCCCAGCAGCTCGGGAGGCTGAGACGGGAGGATCTCGAGTTGGAGGCCAGCCTCAGCCACTTAGCGAAGCCCTAAGCAACTCAGCGAGACCCTGTCTCTAAATAAAATAGAAAAAGGGCTGGGGATGGGGCTCAGGGTCCCTGGGTTCAAACGCTGGCACCAGAAAACAAAACCCCACAATGGTTTATAACAAGAGCGGTAGGAGGGCCAACCACCCGACTACTGTGCTCCAGGGTGCCCTGGCTCAGTGAGAGCTGCCACCGCACGTACTCATCTGAGGCCACTAGGAGAGCTGGCTGTCAGTGAGTCATTATTTTTTGCTGTGAACTGGAGATAGGGTGTCCCTTCGTATTTTTCCTTTTGATGCAGGGTCTCGCCGAGTTGCCCAGGCTGACCTTGAACTTGGGATCCTCCAGCATCAGGAAGAGGCTGTGGCTCACAGGGGAACAGCAGGCTCAGGACCGCTTCCCCACTATGTCGCTATCACCAGGCTGGCCACCAGGGGGCGCTACGCTCCCTTTAATTTTCTGTCGCAGACCCAGAGCACACCCTGGGGAGGCTCCGAGCCTAGACAGATGACAGACACGGGCGGCAGGAACGGGAGGTTAGGGGCCCCCTGTGGGCACCCCACATGCTTCCTTTTAAAAAGTGTTTTGGGGGCACCGGGGATTGAACCCAGGGTTGCTTAACCCCTGAGCCCCATCCCCAGCCCTATTTTGTATTTTGTTTACAGACAGCGTCTCCCTGAGTTGCTCAGGGCCTCACTGATGCCGAGGCTGGCCTCCAACTTGCGATCCTCCTGCCTCAGCCTCCCGTGCCGCTGGGATGACAGTTGTGTGCCACCGCAACCTGCTCCGAATGCTTTCTTTTAAAAAGCAATTTACCCCCAGCCCTTCCTGGCTCAAGTCAACAGGATGTCACATTCCTCAACAAACAGCGTGTCATCTGCAGGAGAAATGCAGGCCTGAAGGTCGGTGAGGTCACAAGTTATCCTGAAAGGGGGAGGGGGCTTCTGTGACATTCACACTCACCAGCTTCTGGGACTCAGGAAGATTCGATGATAATTGGGAGCCAAGTCCCCCAACCACAAAACCCAGAAGAACAAGTACTGATTAGAACCCGACAGCGGGGCCAGAGCGACCCAGAGTTCCCGGATGTTTCACCTGTCCTAACAGCAAAACCTGCCTTCCAGGTGACAAGACGGCGGGGACTCGGAAGTCTGACGCAGTCCTGCTGTCAGTCAGTCACAAGTCCAGAAGTGGAACTGGATGGAACTCTCTGGAACCTTCCCTGGGACCGTCCTCCCCCAGTAAAGCAGGAGGGCGAGGAGGAACAAGCCACTCTCCTGAGAGGAACCACTCTGTCCCCTGAAAGTGTCCCTTTTCCTATCCACCCCGCCCTGAACCTTTTTCTGGTCCCAGGGATTGAACCCAGGATGCTGAACCCCTGAGCCCCGTCCCCAGCCCTTTCTGTATTTTATTTAGAGACAGGGTCTCGCTGAGTTGTTGAGGCTGGCCTCCCACTTGCGATCCTCCTGCCTCAGCCTCCCAAGCTGCTGGGATCACAGGTCTGCGCTACTGCGCCTGGGACATGAGTGGGCACAGGAGGCCTGTCTGTCCCCAAGCACCAGCATGTGCCCTGCTCTGGATGGCGGTCTCCGCGGGGCCAGGATCTGGAGAGAGGAAAGAAGACAGGGCAGAGGCACCGTCGTTTGTTCTTGGTAAGTTTATTGGCATCACGTTCATCTCTTTACAGAAGAACTCGGCCCACACCTAGGATGTCGACCTCTGGAGGGGAGAGGCTCTCTGGTAAAGCAGGCTACGACAACGCGGGGCGGGTCCTGGGAAGGGGCAGAACTGCCGGGTTCCAACCAAGGGACCAAGGGGCTGGGTGGGCTCATAGAGGGCGCCCGTGAAGGGAGACGGAGGGGAAAAGAAAGAGGAGAAGAAGATCTGCCAGTCTGAGGAGACCACAACCCTGAAAGGAGTGCCTTCTAGAACAAAGGTAGAATCGCTAGGAGGGCAGATCTGGGGGGTTCTGCTTCCCTCTTACGAGCCAGATGCTGATCTACGGGGGGGAGACAGAGCGGGGGTCTCAAGTGAGGAGCGGAAGAGCAAAAGAAAAACAATAATAATAAAAAAGAGAAGGAAGGCGACACTTGTCATTTGCAATAACAGCCGTTTATCCATTGCACACTGCGGGGGGCGAGTCAACCTTTCGGGGTGGGGAGGGGGGAAATTTCGACACAGAAGGATCTAGACCAGTTTTCCCTCTGGAGAGATGAAAAGCTTATCTGTTTTTGGCTCGAGTCTTTGAGAAGAAAAGGCGTCCATCATCCTTGTCGTGGTCACTGTACACAACACTGTCGCTAAGCGGGGGGTTCCCGGATTCTGAGCCTCTAGCGCTCTGCCATCCAGATGGGAGAAGGGGGGGGTCCGACCCTCGGCCTTCGGGGACCTGGACACGTCATCCGAGCTCGGGTTCCACTGATTTTGCGCGCGCTTGTGTCTAACCGGTCGCATATATTAATGTCACTCTGGGTCCTCTCCTAGGAAGCCTTACATAATAAGTGGAGACTGTAGAAAGAGCTGATTAGTTCAAGGAACAGAGGCCAATGGGGCGTATAAAAGGTGGCCTGGCCGGGGGGAGGGGGGCCAGGGGACGCGGTGGCACCAGCCTACCCGGGGAGCCTGTGGGGGTGGGGGTGGGGGGACCACACGACCTTTAAAAAAATCAGGTGACTCATGAGACACAGATCAACTGTAAACAGTCCTCTCTCCAGTGGACGAAATCGGAGGAGCTTCCCAGGCGGCTCTGGCCAGGGCGGAGTGGGAGCTGGCCTGTCCTGCTGCCGCAAGGGCTCACGGGAGGCCGCTGGCCCCCCCAGGAGCCGCACAGAGGTGGGCTGGTGTGTGTGTGTGTGTGTGTGTGTGTGTGTGTGTGTGTTGGGGTGACGGGGTGGGCTCTGGTGGCAGCGGGGGGAGAGGGCCCTGCTGTTCAGGGGTGAAGGCCTGTGTGTCCTGGGGTGAGGGCTCTGTGCTGGCGCCCACCGCCCCCTCAGCAGCTGCAGGTCTCGGCCGAGGGCTTGGCCCGGTCGTTCTTGTCCAGCTTGATGGGCTCGGGGAATTCGTTGTACAGCTCCACCTCCGTCTCCTGGGCAGGGGAGAGGGCTCGTGACGCAGGGGCGCGCTCCAAGGGCCCGCCCGCAAGGAGGCGGGCTCTGGGGTCCCCTCAGGGCACCAGGTGGCAGCAGCACCCAGCATACAGAGACCAGGCCACTCTGGCCAGAAGGCTCCCTGCCCTCTCAGTCCCCCAATCCCCCTTCAATCCCCAACTTTCCAGGTGCGGTGGCACACGCCTATCATTCTTGCTACTTGCGAGGCTGAGGCAGGAGGATCGCAAGTTGGAGGCCAGCCTCAGCCACTTAGCAAAGGTGGGACTGCAGCAGCTCAGCGAGACCCTGTCTGTAACCGTAATATAAAGAAAGGGCTGGGACGGGGCCCAATGGGTAAGTGGCCCTGGGTTCAATCCCTGGCCCCTAAATAAATAAATAAACAAATGAATAAAAAGGGGGAGAGGGGCTCAAAGAGACTGGCACAGTGAACAGAGCCACAGAGGGCACTCGACCCCTGAGCCCCGTCTCCAGCCCTTTTTAGACTTTATTTAGAGACAGGGTCTCCCTGAGTTGCTTAGGGCCTTGATAAACTACTGAGGCTGGCCTCCAACTCGGATCCTCCTGCCTCAGCCTCCAGAGCTTCTGGGATGGCAGGTGGGCACCACGGCTCCAGGTCTTTGGCAGGTTTTAGATGATTCACAAAACAGTGGAATGTGGGAGCTTCAGCGGAGCATGTCGTTCACACCTCCCCGGGCGCACACGTGGGGTCCCTGGCTATCCCCAGGAGAGGCTGCAGGGAGGCCGGGCTGGGCCAGCGCCAGGGCGGGGACACCCTACCTGCTTCAGCGCGTTCCTTGCGATCGTCTGGAAGGCCTGCTCCACGTTGATGGCCTCCTTGGCACTGGTCTCGAAGTAGGGGATGTTGTTCTTGCTGTAGCACCAGGCCTGGGCGCGCTTCGTGGCCACCTGCGGGACAGCAGCGCACCTGACACAGCGCTCGGCCCCGCCCGGGAAGGAGGGCGGCCCCTCCACCTCGGCCAGTCGCTGTGCCCGTGGGTAGGTGGTGACCTGGGTCCACTCAAGTCACTTGTGAGAGGAGCAAGAAGCCAGCCCAGAGGTGAGGAGGGGGGACGAGGGGCTTCTCCTAGGGCCTCCCTAGCAGCCTGTCGTGACGTGGGGTCCCCCGGGCCACAGAATCCTGCAGTTCCGCTCCCCGTGAACAGTGAAGGGGTCAGGACCACATCTTAGATGAACCTAGCTACGGGATTCTGATTCAGGGTCGGTCGTCCCCAGCGGCTCTGGAGGCTGAGGCAGGAGGACCACAAGGTGGAGGCCAGCCTCGACCACTTAGTGAGGCACTGAGCAACTCAGAGAGACCCTGTCTCTGAACCCTCCGCCAGCACCTGCCCAAACCCTCTGGCCTCAGCCAAGGACCTCCCACACCCTCGAGGCCCCCGGGGAGCCTCCGTGGGGACACCCGCCGTCCCCAGCACTCACTTGTCTGTTTTCGAGGTCGATCTTGTTCCCCAGCACGACGAAGGGGAAGTTTTCGGGGTCCCGGGGGCTGGCCTGGATGAGGAACTCGTCTCTCCAGCTATCGAGGGTTTTGAAGGTGTTGGGGGCGGTCACGTCAAAGACCAGGACGCAGCAGTCGGCGCCCCTGTAGAAGGCCACGCCGAGGGACTGGAACCGCTCCTGCCCGGCCGTGTCCCAGATCTGCAGAGAGCACGGGGGCTGAGCAAGTGCCGGGGGACAGGGACCGGACGGGGGCCACCCACCACCATCCGCCAACTCGGGGTTCAGGAAGCAGAATTTCACACCGCAGTGTCCAAAATGACCCTGAAAACCGTGTCTACCAAGGAGGGGACACGGAGTCTGATGCTTGGGGACTCTGCTGGTTACATACATGGATAGAACGGGTGTCAAATTCAAGCCGTAGGCTTCAGACCTGTGTAGTCTGGGGGTGACGGAAATCAAACTCACTGAATTGTACATTTCTACCTACATTTTTTTTTTTGAGGGTACCTGGGATTGAACACAGGTTCACTTAACCCCTGAGCCCCGTCCCCAGCTCTTTTTCTATTTTATTTAGAGACAGGGTCTCGCCGAGTTGCTCAGGGCCTCGTAAGTGGCTGAGGCTGGCCTCCACCTTGTGATCCTCCTGCCTCAGCCTCCCGAGCCGCTGGGATGACAGGTGGGCACCACTGCGCCTGGCAGAAACCCAAAGATTTCTGACCTAAGCTTATTAAGGATGTGAAGAGACCAGTTAGAGCCGGGCATGGAGGTCAGTGCTTGTACTGGCAGCAGCTACTTAACCCAGCACCCTGGGTTCAATCCCTGGGACCAGAAAAGAGCCGAGTTAGAGACGTGCTGAAACACAGGCAGGGCCCGGGAAGGCAGCCAGCGCAAAGACTCAGAACAAACAAAAATTCACCCAGTTAAACGTGAATTTCAAAACAACTAAAAGCAATTTCACGGTGTCTTATTTTGCAGTGTGAAACTCACACTGAGGGCCGGAGGGCAGCTCCCTGAGAGGGCAAGGTCCCCAGGTTCAGGCCGGGGCCTGTCCCCACACTCGCAGAAAACTGAATTTAAACTGCCACCTGGCATTTTCTCCAGGGACACGAGCTGTGGCCCATTATCCACGGGGTGTGGCCATCAGGGGCGGTGGCGGCCTGGCCTGAAGACACACAGGGAGCAGGGCGGGGCCGCGAGGCTGGGGAGCGGCTCACCTGCATGGTGACTAGTCTGTCGTCCACCATCACCTCCTTGGTCAGGAAGTCGGCTCCTATCGTGGCTTTGTACTGGTTACTGAATTTCTTGTTCACATACTGGTTCATGAGTGACGTCTTCCCAACGCTGAGGGAGAAAAAGCACAAGTCTCAGTCACACAGGAGGGACAGGGACTGACGGTGGCACCTGTAGCTTCTTTTTTTGGTAACAGGGGTTGAACCCAAGGGTGCTTAACCCCTGAGCCCCGTCCCCAGCCCTTTTTATTTATATTTTATTTAGAGACAGGATCTCACTGAGTGGCTCAGGGTCTCCCTAATTTGCTGAGGCTGGCCTCTAACTTGCGATCCTCCTGCCTCAGCCTCCCAAGCTGCTGGGATGACAGGCGTGGGCCACCGATATTTGCAACTTCACAAGGAGCCTGCCTGTTTCGAAGGAGAGCAAGGAACCAAGGCCCCTGTCCCCAAACATCCCTGCATGACACACTGGAAAATGTGCATTTCTGCTGGGCTAAAGATCCAGGGTGGGGTTGGGGGTGGGGCTCAGTGGCAGAGCTGCTGCCTGGCACGCATGAAGCCCGGGTGCCACCCCCAGCTCAGCAACAGACATAAACAAACAAAAGCCGGACACAGATGTGCACCAGATGCTGAAAAGCGGCTGGTAAGTTTCGGTTCAGGCGACTCCGGTGACACAACCGGGCATGATTCCTTTCCCTCCCAGAAGGACGTCAGTAAATACACTCCTTCTAAAATAAGCTCCAGGAGTAAGATCGCTCCACGATTCTAAAAATACCACAGTAGTCTCCGGTGCTTCTCTATTTAGTGGTTGTTATTTGGCTTAATGAAGTCATAGGAGGAGGCAGCTGCTGGCTTTGAACAGACACCTAATGACACACGCCAAGTTTAAAACCTGAGGCAGAGATTATTTATTTTTTTGGGGGGGGAGAAGGGATTGATCTCAGTGGCACCCAACCCCTGAGCCACATTCTCAGACCTTTTTCTATTTTATTTAGAGACAGGGTCTCACTGAGTTGCTTAGCACCTCGCCTTTGCTGAGGCTGGCCTCCACCTTTCGATCCTCCTGCCTCAGCCTCCCGAGCTGCTGGGAGGACAGGTGTGCACCACTGCACCTGGCCCGAGGCAGAGATTATTACCAATATGTAACCAGACCAGAATCTACCTCAAAGCAAGCTTCTCCCAAGGATTTTTTTCAGCAGGAGACCATGTGTGATTGTTTTGGTGACCAGGTTAGAGCAGGCTCAAGATAACAGAAAAGCCTGCCTCATGACCAATAGTATCACCTTGCTTTCCCACAAAGGGACAAGTTCGTGCTCATGTGCAGAGGACCTGAAAGCATACCTAGCCCCAGGCCGTGCTCTCTGACCCAGACCACCTGCACCAGACCTTCCAGGGGAGGCGGGGGGCCG